TGGATTTTAGTTGCTTTGAAATGTTATTTGTTCCAAAGGATTTGGCACTGTCTCTTGCTAGGTAAATAGTACCATATGTGTAATACCAATAGTGTACCTAACTCAACTGAAGTGATAATCACATGTATGTGTAAGTAAGAAATGAGACATTTTCTCTTGATTTATCATTTTTATTTTATAAAATCATAGCCTTTAAGTCATATACTTTCAAGATTTGTAAATGACCGCTACTACTTGTGACTAAATATGTTCTGTAACCTTATTGATGAGTTAATAATTAACAATGACCAAGAAGTGGATGGAAAAAAATGTAACATTTGATATTAATCTTATATCTTAGGACACCGCAAAAAAGGAAAATTACAGGCCAATATCCCTGATAAACACTGATGTAAAAGTCCTCAACAATATTAGCAAACTGAATTCAACAATATATTAAGAAGATCCTACACCATGATCAAGTGGGATTTATTCCAGGATTGCAAAGATATATCAACATCTGCAAATCAGTCAACATGATATACCACATTAACATAATGAAGGGTAAAATCATATTATCATCTCAATAGACGTAAAAAAAATTTGACAAAATTTAACATCCATTTATGATAAAAATCTCTCAACAAAATGAGTGTAGAGGAAATTCATCTCAATATAATGGAGGCCATGTATGACAAGCACACAGCTAACATCAAATTCAATGGTTAAAAGCAAGAAGTTTTTCCTCTAAGATGAGGAACAAGACAAGTCACTTTTATTCAACATAGTTTGGAAGTCCTAGCCAGAACAATTAGGCAAGAAAAAGAAATAAAAGGAATCCAAATTGGAAAGGAAGAAGTAAAACTGTCACTATTGCAGACGGCATGACACTGTATATAGAAAACCCTAACTATTCCACAAGAAAACTCACAACTAATAAAAAAAATTCAGTAAAGTTGCAGGATACAGAATCAATACACAAAAATCTGTTGCCTTTCTATATACTAATAACAAACTATCAGAGAAATTAAGAAAACAATTCCACTTATATCAAAAAGAAGAAAATGTCTAG